GCGCTCGGGCTCATGGGTAGCCCAATCTGCTATACTTACACGTATAACACCGAGTCAATACTCGTCGCTGTTCTCTAGCAGCCTTAATTGCATTCTACGTAACGAACTAGAGAGATAGAGTAGCAAAAAAAAAAAATCAAAACAACTTTTAATAGGAGAAAGTTCAGTTATACCAAAAACATAATTATTTTAATAGCCAACAATAAAAAAATGTGTGGCCCATCTTCGTCAGCGGCGAAAACAATTGTAACAATTTTCCTGGCGCTGAATTACAAATTTACAATTGCTTTGTCACATAAATCTGGTGAAATAACAACAACTGCAACATCATTTATTTCTCTGCTTGCAGTAATAAGTGCTCGTGATTGCAAGGGAAAACAAATTAAAAAAAAGTTCACCAAACTGGCAAAATGTGATTTACTGCACTCAATTTGAATGTGATGTTCTCCAGAACAACAACAATACGCGTATATATTTAGGTAAAAGGCAACAATAAAATATCAACTCATACAGACATATTAAAAACTACAATCATGCACACATAGCATACAGCAATCAGCCAGCAGCAGGCAGTAATCAACGTGCAACATTTTACCAATCCAACAACAACTACAACAAAATCGAAAATGTTGTGCTAACATGTATGTGAGTGTACATACACGTATGTATCTATATTGCCAACAATAAAAACTATACAAAAAAAAAATTACAGCGTAAAAACTGTAATATACTAAAGCAACACCAGTGCCAACAACAACAATAACAACAACCACATCAAGAACCGCAACAATAATATTATTGGCGGCGACACCTTCAGTGTTAAACACTTTTGCAAATTACTGCAGTCAGCAAATACATCAAGGCAAAAATAGTCGCCGACAAAGAATAAACCGGCAAAGACGATGTTGGCGCATGGAAATAAAGACAAACTAGCAGCAGTGCCGGCGGGCCTAGAGGCGGGCGGATGGGCAATGCGGGCGAACGGGTGGTCGGTCGAAATGTGTTCGTTGAGTCTGATGTAAAAATCGCTGCCGCCGCATAGGCAATTGAACGGATAAGCGGGTTAATAGAAAGTCGTCTAGCTCTGCGCGGGCAAATGAACCTATATACATACGCTGCGAAGGGACGAGCGAGTGTGTGAAGAACAACTGAACGGGGCTTCGCCGCATTGGTGCTGGCGACAAGTAGACATCATTATTGATGACAATTGAGTGTACGCTTAACGATAGCTGCCAAACTGTCAAATGTTGGTGGGGTGTAGGGTCGGGCGAGCTGAGTGTTGGGCAGGCTAATGTGAAAAGATGGCTTTGGTGGTTGACTTATATAAGCCTGTGCATGTGCATGTGTTAGTAACGCATACATACATAATTACGTATAATACATAATAAACTTGTATATCGGTAAGCACATTTTCAAAATGTATGTACTTACATAAATATGTACACATTTATGTGAAGATTAATTTATTTAAACAGGACAGGGTGCTCCTTAGGCGTAAAATATATTTATATTAAATTCTGGAAGAAAATTCTGAGAAACCAAAGGCCATTATGAATGTTAGAAAAAATTATTTTTGTGGTAGTTAAAAGTATTTTTTGGAAAATCTCTTACTTTAGTTATAGCGTCTTTTTTGTTCATTTCATCGCTTTAAATTTTTTTAACACTTATACATACACACATACACAGACATATTTATTTTTTGAAAATGAATTTCAATGCGACTATAATCTCAATCAATCTAATTTTTTCACCATTTCCAATAAATACATCGACGATTTCAAGAAAAGCTATTTACAGGGTCCGGCACTCGAAGTGTAGCTAATTAAAAATTACTTTTAATATATTCAAAGTACAAAATATGTGAAAATAATACAAAATTATGAAATAATTTATTTTTTGCAGCAGCAGTCACAGATCAGACTTGAAAGAGCGAAGGAGTCGCTTTGCTTAGTCGAAAGTGGTAAATTTCCGAACATTGTATTTTCTGACGAGACAAATTTTACATTTGAGCAATCCGTAAATTTTCAAAACGACAGGATTAACTTGACCGACCGTTCATACAAGAATTTGAGTCATCAATTGGCTACCAGGAGGCAGCATACGCCACAGATAATGATTTGGGCCGCAGTAACCGCAGATGGCTGTTTTCTAATCGTGGCGTCAAGGTAAATGCGCAATATTATGGGAAAGTATTCGAGAGGTTGCTTTGAAGGCATGGACAGACAAACATTTCGGTGGCAAGCCATGGACGTTTCAACAGGACTCCGCAATGTCTCATAAAGCTCGAGTGAACCAAGAATGGCTGAAAACAATGCTCCGAAATACATAACGTCCACACAATGGCTCTCCAATTTCACCAGACGCTAACCAGATGTATTATTCTCTTTGAGCCATTTGGACAGCAAGCTCCGAACTTAAAGATATTTCAGTCTCGATGCTCGGTAGAAAGCCGTTGTCTGCGAGTGGACAAAATACCTTTAAGTCACATTTGGGCAGCTTTTGATTTGTTTTTAGACCGTCTCACGGCAATGTGGTCATATCGAGCAAAAGTAACTTGTTTCCGAATTTCGTATCATTTTCACATTTTTGTACTTTGAATTAATTAAAAACAATTTTCCAAACTTAATTTAGGGTCTTTTTAATTGGTAACACTTCGAGTGCCGAGGCTTGTACTGCGTCTTACTGTAACTTTTATGAAAAGTGATTTCCTTCGCAGAAAGAGGTCACCTTCTACATGTTCGCCAATTTATGGGAGCCTGCCATTGCCTTTTCATGGTAACAAGAGATTGACTCAAAAATCGTGCTTTTTTGGAGGATGAATTTTTCAAACGTTAATTGAGCGGGAATTTCAAGAATTCATTGCCTTTTATAAATCATTACCACAAAATGGTGTCACTGATTTGTCGTATAGGGTCTGTTTCTCGTTCTTTGGAAGGGTTACTATCGAAATTAGCGAATATTGCCTTCTATCAAAAATATTTGGCCATCTAAACTTTCATGACTCCACCACAAGTAGTCAGTTTATTAACTTGATAGGTGGCAAGAACGGTAAATAATATTTTTTTTCAACACTCAGTACTGATACACCAAAGACCTAGATTTTAACACAATTTTGGCAATTCGAAACACAACACCCAACCGGACGATCTTTTGTATTTCCAGAGTAGCATTTTTATACACCTTAAGCTTTGTATGGTCCACCCTAATAAGAAGCACACTGACACTACTGCATATACATACATATGTATGTCTGTATGTACACACGTCTAATTACTATCGCATGCCTACCAAGATGGGTTAACTAACTCAAATTCTTAAAATTGTGCATACATATATACATATATAACATATATATATAAATATATAAAAACTCTCATATAAAGCTGCAAAATAAAATAAATATTACATATACATAGATATGTTTGTGTAGGCACATACACGTAGGTTTATATATATACATATATATGTATATACACATACATATATATATATATAAATTGACATTAAAAGAAATTCGGCAATTCACAGCCAAAGCAATTATGTATAATAATTAACGCATGCAACCAAGTGGAAACTTTTTTATAGAAAACTAAAGCAAAAGCAGCAACAAAATAATGCAAAATTTCAATCCGCAAAATGACAAAGTGAACAAGCGAGCCAGCGAACGAGCGAACGAGCCATCACCATTATCGCCACCAAAAGTGGAATGGAATGGAACATCTGCAACAAAAACAAAATAATAATAACAATAAAACAACAGCAACAATTAAAATAAAAGAGTCTAAGGAACATGAAAATAGATGTATTAAAATTGTATATATGTATGTAATTAGATATGTATGTTTGTATATACATACAAATAGTGCGGCGAATAATCACAGCATTCACAAGCGCACATTTCGATTGTTGTATTTGTATGTACATACCTATGTATATTTCGAATAGTAAAAATGTATGTAAATATTTTATTGTTAATAAAGTAGAGAGCCATCAGCCACGTACATACGAGTATGTATACATATGTGTATGTAAGCTACAAGCCACAGAAATAAATAATACAGACATTGCTGGTTGTTATTACAGCTCTAACAACAATTCACTCGCCCATGCATGTGTACATATATGTATACTTGAGAATACCAGTCGGGCCAACAGCGTCAAATTGGAAAAATTAATGACGTTCTGTTGACAGCTACAAAAAAGCGTCTTATATCATGTGAATATATTGTGGAGAATGTGCTTGGATGTATTAAGAGGCGCACTCAAACATTTTAGCATATACATACATATACATATACATAAATAAAAGTGTATGTATGCATGGGCATATGCCTGTAAACATAATTACCCCATATAACGCGTTTCAGAGCAGATACAAGAGCACTGGTGATGGCCCGTTCTGATTGGCTGCACATTGTATGGCAGAGAACACGCCCCATTTTTGTGCTGGAGACCTCCTCAGGCTGTTCGCAAAGCCAGCAAACGTGGCTGTCATTCTCTCATCGCTGCTTTTGCTTTTTTTTCGTATATATGTATGTGAGTAAGCATCGGTTTCTGCGCTCACTGCCGCTCAATCCAATTAGAAGCAAAGTTGTGACGTCATTGAAATCGGCGCTTAGATAATCAGAGAAGGGAACGTAAAATAAAAAGAGAAAAGCAAGCATAGAAACAAAAAAAATAGCAACAACTTAAGTGTGCGCAGTCGACGAGCAGCTGAATGAGACTGGTTTTTCAAATGTATTTAGTGCAAAAAGAATTAGAAAAGAACAGCAAGCAAACATGTAACCATCTCGTTATATGCATAAGTAAAGATATTTGTATTTGCGCTATTTTTGCCTTTTTTTCTTATTTATTTACATATTATTCTTTGCCTCTATTGAGCGCTCTCTCTCTCTCTCTCTCAATCGCTAGCCTCTCTTCTCATTTACCATACCACAAGTTGGCTCGTGTTGCGTGTATGCAGGCGCACATTGCTCTTGTGAGCTTATATCGAACGCTGATGCCTCTGCTGCTGTTGCAGGCGAATCAGGACGCCACAAGCCATTTTTCTGTTTCAGTCCGCGTCACAGTACGAGTATATATCAACGTTAATGTGTGCGCTTGTTTTGGGGTTCGCCGTTTTGCCGACGCTTTTTTATAAGCCATTTTTACGCGCGCCGGTTATACCGTGAATAAGAATCTCATAGACCATGCTGTGAGGCGCATCCGCTGTAATAAAATGTATTTAAATTCTGATTAGATTATTTACAATTAATGCAGTGCAGTTAAATACTGTTAATTGAAAATGAGTGACAACCGAACAACTCTAATTACTTAAGTATAAAAACAACCACGAAACTTAAATAATGTGCGTGCTTTCAGACACTTTGTTGTACCCGTATGTGCGTGCATTTGTGCTATTGTGAAGCAGAAATATTAAAATATAAATAATCAATATCTCAACTGCAGTTTGACTACCGAGCATGATGCGTTCGGGCAGCCCCCTACCACGCCCCGCCAGTCCGGCTATCTCTGAGATCTCCGTTGGCTCGCCTAGTCCACCTCTGGCACCCGCATTGCACAATCTAAGTCAACACAATGGTTTAACTGCCTTTCGGCCATTGAGTATAAAACGTGCGCGTCTTACGGAAAACATAAGCCAGCAAAGCACCGTTTTAACCACAGATAACGGCGTACCGCTAACTATACGTCTACCGCCACAAGCGCCGCAACGCCGCAAGTCGAGCGCTGAGCGTGTGAAAAGCTTTTCAATTGCCGATATACTCGGTAAGCGCGATACAACCACACCGAAACTAAATGCGTCACGCACACCAACTCCACCAACACCTGCAGCACCACCACTACCACCACCAGAGCCTGCACTCGCACCACTGGCGCTTAATAGTTCCTCTAGCATTGTTGAAACATCCATAATGACAGCATTACCAGCATTGCCACGGCCACAACCAGCACTACCTGCCACATTGCTACCTACACAAATTCTCGGTGAACGCCTGGGGCCAACAGTACCGCCGCCATCAGCCGCATTGATCGTGCCGCCAACTCAGCTACTACTCGATGCACATGTGTTTCCCAAGTGGCAAGCAATCCGTGGTGCTGCTGCTGCCACCGCCGTACCAATGCCGTTGCGTCCGTTTCTGCCGCCCGCATTGTTGCACTATGAACAGCGTTTGGCTTGGGACTATCAACGTCAATTGCAGGAGCACTTTCAAGCACAAGCACAGCTATTGCGTCAAATGAGTATGGATCCCTCGATTATTCCGTCTGAAGATGGTTCCGAACGCTCACATTCCACTTCGACAGGCAGTGAGTGTGGCTCTCCGGATTTGGGTGGTGAGCCAAATAAAGACGGCCAGAGTAATGATAAAACTTGTACTAAAGAGTGGAGTGAAAATGATCGAAAAAATGGTGAGGCTAACGATGGCGGGAAGGCACAAAAATCAACGGGCGATACGCCACTCGATGCTCTCTTTCAACTATCAACCAAAAACTTTGACGATGGTACAGGTGAGTTTGTAAAAAAATTTGTATTACAAACTAAAAGAGTGGAACCCAAAAATAGAAATAAGCATATTAGTATTAGCTCGCTGATCTCCACTTAGCTGTGAACAAATTCCCAAGTTTATGCCAATGAGGAAGGTGTCCATGTGGTCATTATGGAATTTTAAAAGGACGAGGCGAACCAAAATCTATAGGAAACAGTATAGTTTTGTTGAAAAATAATGCTGATATGGTCTCCACTTAGCTTTCGGAATTCCAATATACTAAATACATATATGCCATATACGAGTATAATACATCCCCTAAAGAGCATTTTCCGACAAAGTAGAGTGTTTGAAACCCCGATCATTCTTGTTGTTGTCGGAGAATCTGTCGAACTAGTGAACAGGTAAAGGTTTAATCCAAAGCTACTTTTGCGGTATAGAAGATCTCATTTTGGTTTTAAAAGTAAGATACATCAAAACAAGCGGTTATCCTCACAGGAGAAAACTAAGTCCACGTGGTTGGTACGTCAGGGGCGGATCTAGCTGAGGAAAAGGGGGCAATCCACAAAGATTTTTCAATATGTCTTGGACGTTGATCCCTATTGTGTATACTAATCGAGTATAATTAAGATTTGGGTTTTCAAGGAATTTGGTATAAAATTATTTTATCCCAATAAAAATCGTTTATGGATCCGCCCCTACAGTATGTGCATGCATGTCCCCAGACTCAGGTAACTCTTTGCTCTAAGTCGTCATCAGCAAATTGAGTGAGCGCAGTGATTTGGCTTGATAATTGCGAAATCAATTAGCTCATCTGGTCTAGGCGTTTTAGACCTCGGCCGTAATTATTCAGAATGAGGAAATCAATCTCATGGTAAAGAATCTCTTTTTTACTTGAATTCGGCATATACGAGCTTGCGAGAATCAACTAATTTTCGTAGCAATTCCGCTACATATATATTATACATATATATACATATGTATTGATATGTCTACCACATTGCCCCACATTATGCCATTAAAAGCAACAAACGAAATGAAACTGCTTGAAAGAATAACAAGAAAATGAAGAAGCAAAACAATCCCGATATGAAGATCCATCACCACAATCTGTGCGTTGAAAAAGACTCCGTCGCGGCATAGTGATCGATGATCAATTGTTGTCATTATGTCTTGATGAGATTCTGTTTAAAGCGTAAACACAGTAGTGAGGTCACTCGCCTATAGTGGATTAATCAATTCCTACAACGTACATATTTATACATGCATACATACATACATACATATGTACATATGTGCTCCGATGCTCATCTACGGCTTATTTGCTTATAGAAATAAGCCAGAAAATCAGTGGTAACCGCAAAATGCGAAGGAAGGAGGAAGCATAAAGGTGAAGCAAAACAAGAATAACAGCAAAATCAATTCAAAAAAAAAAAAAAAAAAAACAACGAACAAATACATTTTGCAGATGATCTCTACATATCTTTGCATGTATGTGAGTATGTACATACATGTATGTGTATTTGCATAAATTCCATTTGGCTACCAAACAGCAAGCGGCAAGCGGCATTTTGATTGCAACTATGATCGTTTTCGCGCATGCGTATCATTTTCATTCATAACTCGCTATGGCCAGCTGTAACGAGCAAAGTGAAAACGAGCGGCATACACACACACACACACACACACACACACACACAAACAGATATCACCGCAATGAGGACCCAATTTCCAAAGATGCTTTGATTTCTGTATGATTGACTGAATGCTATTGTTGTTGTTGCTCCTAACCGTTGGCATTTCCAGCACGTCTCCGCCGACGTTTTCTCGTTAAGCCCCGGAGACCTCACCGCGTTCGTGTGATCGTTCAGTGAAATCAGCTACTGTATTGCGCACCGCTTTCGGCGGCTACCTCTACCTGATAGCTCTGGTAGTTCTGTGATGATATTCACTTAAATTGGATTCACGCGGGGCACGTACGCGCAAATCGGTGCTTCATAATCAGAAAACTCCTCTACTGGCACTCTACTGCTGCGGCGGCAAAGTGGACTGGGCCAGCACAAAACAGATCAATTCAAATTACGCCGCGTGCGAGGCGGGGAAAGCGCCACGATTTATTGTATTTCTGCTCAAGTGAGGCTTGCCTTTTTCCACTTGTTATTCAACACCTAACCACTTGGAACGTCCCACCGCCACCAGTTGGGTTGATATCTCAATTGAATTGTGCCATTATTATTGTTATTATTATTATTATTATTACAATGTAATCACGTGATTTGTAATGCACAGGCCGCTGCGTTGATGCTATGCAAGCCAACTTCCTGGCGTCATTTGCGTTACGCATGTACGAAAATTAATTTCAAATTGCGCATCTTCTCAAGGCTTCTCTCTGTGAGCTTCAGTCTAGTTGTTATTGTTATCATCATTTTGAGCTTGAAGAGTGGAAATCGTAAAATGACTGGCGCCTCATATCCGGTAACGAAACGCTTTTCTGCGCATTTTAATCTACTTTTGGCTACTGGCATTGAAATCATGAGCTGCAAATTTTGCGGTTAATTTAAGAATGTTTATATTGGACCGCATTCAATGTGATTGCCTCTTTTCACTGACATACCGATGGCGACTTTCGTAGTAGATTTAAAAAAATAGAAGCAGATTTTGAAAGCAGTAAAAATAGCAAGAGAAAATATTAAAGATACTCAGCATGATCTTAAATCCAAATATATATACATTTTATACGTCACAGTGTCGTCCTTCTTCAACAGTACACTGGTATCCCAAGCTACACAATCGGTAGCGAGCGTAGTTTACTTGAAACAATTTCAGTACGCCTATTAATTGAAACCTGAGAGGAGGATTATTCCGGAAATTAAGGAATCCTAATCTTCATACTATCTCTCACATGTGTCCCTGTTCATAAGAACATTAAAAGAAACTGAAAATCAGACAAGCTCGCATCGCAATGTATCTTCAAGTACCTCGCCCTCGATAAAGAACGTTTTAAGATGCCGATTGTCACCTACAAATTGATCCTCAAGAAATTTACTTACAGAAATTTTGCCCAACCCTCCAAAATATTTAAGAAAAGGTCACCAAAAAATTGACTCCGTATAAATCTAGGACAAATCCAAGGCAATAGGAGTTCTGACAGGGCACTATTTGAGAGAGAACTCATGGGAGTTTTTAATCAGAGAGGCAAATAGAATAAAGATGAAGGTGAAGAATGATCTCTAATGTCCAAGTTGCTACGGACAGAAGCAAGTTCTCCAAACTCCCGGACATCTGTTTTAGTTTTAGCAAAGGCCACTGTTTGAATCCTGGTCGCACCAACATTCAAAATTATAGAAAATGCCCCTCGGCAGTGAATTTCACGCCCTCCCAGTGTATTCCTGACATGAAACAAAGAGGCTTCGCATAAAAACCATCAGCCGATTTGTTTGATATTTTAATAACCTTCTAGAAAGCATCAAAACCACAGCGAAAGAATCCGAATAGGTTTGAGTCTATTGAACCCACCAATCCTCTAAGGCTACAGTCTCTTTTAGAACCCTAAAAAAAGCGTTTTCAGTATTTTTTTAAAGGGAAAAAATTATGGGAGTAAACGAATTTTTCAGTTAATATTGTACTTTATTTAAGCTTAAAAAATATTGGAATCTTGCAACGTTTTGATGAATTTTCTGAACTCGTGAAACGGTGCCTGTGAACTAAATTGTTTTTTTTTAATTTTTGTTAGTGTCTCTTCTATATGAACCAAAAACTTTTCGAAGTTTGAAAAATTATTCACTTTTTAGAAAAAAAAAGATTCACTTTAACTTGCAAAAAAAACTAGTTAATACTTTTAGTTTAAATGGTATAAAATATGGTGTTTCAAACTTGGCCATGTTTCGTGCCCAACTATTCAAGCAATTGATAAACTTGAAAAAAAATTTGAGGAGACTTGATCGATTACAGATATTGTAAGGCCTGGACATCATTATTTTGTTCGTTCCGCCTTAAATATCATCACTGTGAGTAAAAGTGTAGCCTAAGAACCGAATGTGTCTATTTCCCGACTTTCTCATGAGCTGGGCCTTTCTTATGGTACATTATGAAGTATTTTGCTATTGGACTTACACCTTCATCCATATAAAGTCCAGCTCACACAAGAACTGAAGGCCGTTTAAACGTCGATTGTGTGCTTAAACCACAAACAGTAGATTTAAATTTTTTGACCTGAAATTAAGTCACACGGTTTGGACAATAAGTGCTTTAAAAAGAAGGGGTCACATGCCACATAACACAATATTGTGAAAGAAAATTCTCTGCCGCGTAATCTCTCATCTTGGCGATCTCTTGAAACCAACTTTTCGCAAGTTATGGCTGAGACATCGCCCAATTTGGCCCAAAAGGTGTTTGAAAATTACCTCAAACTGATCGAAGTTAGCTAAAATTCGCGAGGCGTTCATTTGAATGATTTACTCTTTCACATACAATGCCAAGACTAAAACTTTATAATTAAAAAAAAAAAATTAATTTAAATTAATTAAAAATGATTAAAAATAACAAATTTTATTTACTCCTAATTTCGAAACCGAAAGATGGATAGATGGATAACCCTTTATACGTATATACGTAGGCATATATATGCTATAAAAATATTATTGTCAACTCTAGGCCTTTAGCTACTGAATAAGTACTCAGTACATACTGACGTAGAAGCGGTGCTTTAATTCTATTGTATTTCCACTAATGAGAGAGCTTGCACAATAATCACATAATTAGCAGAGTCCAATATTATTGTGGTATAATTACACGAATATCATCAGACATACAGATATACAAGTACATATGTATATGCATTCTTATTCCTATTATCTACTTCCTACAATTGCTTCCTTTATAAAGAGTCTTGTAGCACAAAGACTGAAGACTGTAAGATCAGCTTTGCACAATCGTCAAGCGACAAAAGATTTTTAGGCCATTGTTGATAGGAACAAAGATACTTGCAGTACAATAATCGAGCAATATGCAGTCATGACCCAA